TTTCAAATACAGCATGGTTACAACTAGAAATGTCATAACCTTATCCAGTGAAAATTGGTACTGCAGTTATGAATTACATTCATCATTGCTTTAAGTGGACTCAATGGTGACATCAACCATATTCTGTGACTGAACTGTTCTTGAGACTGTTCAATAATGTTTGTTTTTGTTTTCCCTCTTTTTTTTTACTAGTATATATATATATATGTATGTATTACAAATTGTTAATAAGTGGAGTGTAATTCTATTGTGATTCTGTCTGTACTGGAGCTACAAGTATTTGCCACAGAGTTGTTTCCTATTGTCCATCCATGATAATTTATCCATGTCTGTCTTAGAGAGGTCACCTATTGTGAAAAGAACCTTCAGCATGGTGTTAAAGTGTTACATAGGTGAGAAGTATGGAAGGTTTTTATATCTCAGGTGATCAGCAGAGCATGTATGTGTAGCACGGCTAAAGCAATAAGTTATGCTGAAAAGTATTGAAGAAAAACTTATGTGGAATACATACAAGAATAAACAGATGCAGAAAGGAATCATTTCAGAACTGCATCCCAAAAAAGAACACAAGACCCACCCAGCTGGCCTAACCACCAGGAATGGTCTAATTCTTAGTGTAGGGGGTGGTCCGTACAACACTTCTAGGTAAATATTCCATATTCCCATTGAAGAGTGCACTCACTTGGTCTCATACACCAACCTAATAGGAAACTCTCCATACTGATCTCCTAAGTCACTTGGGACTAGAGAAGCAAGTGTTCTCTTGTTACTTCACTCAAAAAAGAAAGGGAATTCTATTGACTGCATAAAGTCCAACACCAATAAACAATGAAATAGATTATCATGAATAGGAAAGTAAGCACTAGCCAGGTGTAGGTCCAATCCTGGTACTGTTTTTCTCTCTTTCTCTCTCTTATTTATCTGAAGCATAGCCTGGAAGGTATAATTTAGACATAATGTCAAAGCAATATTGCAAAAAACCTCATCTCTATTAATAATGAGCACTGAGCTGGGGCAAATGGGTTTAATACTTTCTGCTCTCTCTCACTCGATGCAGATTTTGAGAGAGAAATATTACCTATGAACCAATACTTGCCATATAGTGAGTTCCATTGTTCTATAATACAAATACATAATAAGGATGTTGTGACACCTGTTAAAAATGACAAAAATTAACACCTCACCGTCATAGTGCATGTGAAAAGTGAAGATTGGTGGCTAGAGGAAGAGAAAATCCAGGGGTAGATGAAACGGCAATATAGGAAGGAAAGTTGACCTAGAAAATACATCTGATCAACTTCTTGAGCAGCATAAGGTTTTGGAAGGAAGGAGTAGTCAAAGAATAATATTAACTTGTCCCTGCACTAATGAGTAAAGAAGGTGTGTAAGGTAAATTTGTTAAATAGACAGCTCCTGGAGGTAAGAAGAAAATGTGTGTTAACAGAAAGATGGTACAGGGAACAAGAGGCCAATGGTTCAAATGGGGGACATGTGAGAGCCCAAAGAACTAAACAGATTCCAACCTGGAAGAAGAGGATGGCTGTGAAAGAAAATGAAAATGGTCAGGAGAGTTGTGTATAAATACACCCCATAACTGATGATTGTAGAAATGAGAATAAATTGAAGAGAATAGGCATATGAAAAATAAACTGAACCAATCCATACTCAGAGTATTCACCACCAACACCATAGAGCCTGGGCTCTGAAAACAAACAAGTGAAATCCAGGTATTGAGGGGAGTTGAAAAGGTGGCAATGAAAGAACACCCAGAGTAGGAGCAAATCTACTGAAAACAACAGAGGATGGAAAGACCAGTCTGTGGGAAGGGTAGTCTAAGCAAGACAAATGATCTGTTACCAAGGTCTAAGCTTCCAAGACATGATAGGCTGACAACTAAGCTTGATGGATATAGACCTAAAAAGAGAAAGACTAGAATAAGAAAAAACAGATGTTCTGAGAATAAGTGGAGGTTTTCAAGTGCATCACAATAAGAAGAGAGACGAGTGAGAGGATGATGGCAAGCTCATTGAGCAGCTAACATCTCAGAACATTGATATAGAAAAATTAAACCCCTGGAGACCATACACCAGAAATGAAGGTGTTCACAATAGCATCCCACCTGGACAGAAGCATTGGTTGACAGGGTTTGGCTATTTTCAAACCTAAAACTACACAATGTGCCATGGAATGGAGACCCAAAATTTGAGAATTATAAGCTCTCAGACTTACCAAGGTGGGTGAAGATGGAGGCCCAGGGTCATATGGAATTAAATGAGCCACATAAGAACACAGTGGATCACTGGATAAACCACATTGATCAATGACTGGTCAGAGCTCACTTAAGAGAATACATATGGGTATGTTTGAAAGGAAAACAAGAAGATATACGAGTCTTGGTGTCAGAGGTTCTATGTCTTTAAAACAAAAGGGAAAGCTGAGCCTACTCTGTATACAAAATGAGTAAGATGCTGAAATGAATGAGATACTGGTTAGGAGTCAAGACTTAATTAAAGAGTCAAATCAGTTACCCCAAAGACACAACTCTCAAAGGAGAAGGAATGTCACATAAGTGAATGCAACAAATAGAGTCCATATAGTAGTGGAATCGGCTGAGTTTGTGACCCCCAAATTGACCTTTATAGTTTCCATACCATAACTTCTAATATGTTTTGTGTATCTTCACGAAATTTTGCAAGCTTTCAGTATTGGTTAATTCATATGTAGGCAAAAAATCAGAATTTTTAATAAAGTATTTTCACTAAAAATTTTTCCCTGAATATATGGAGTCAAAGTGTTTACTGCTCCAAGTCTAAATTGAGTTTCATGTTATGAATAAAAATACTTTCCTTCATCTCAAATTTCATTTGTGTAATCTCTAACATCTTCTAAATAAATTTCAGATATTTTTTCAGTAAAACTATATTTTATCTGTTATTTTCTCTACCTAAATCTATAGGAGATTGGTCAATTTGACTGACCTCGTAACCACCAAAAAAAAAAAAAAAATACTAAATTACCCTTTTGTTTTTCTAGAATGATTTCAAATTGTAACATGAACTATATTTGTTTATCCTGAATAGCCTTATATTAATAACAGTATACATATATTTATACTCATATTTTATTTTTTCATTGCCCTTTGACTCATGTTTAACTACTATTCACACCATTATAATTAGGAAATCACTTGGTGAATGTGCAGCTCACATTACGCTGTCAAATTACATTATGCATGAAATTTTTTTATTATATTATTATTATTTATTTTATCTAATCTAATCTTAACTAACTTAAAAAGTTTCCTAATTTTACATTTGAGTTACTTTTATAATAACAAATAAATACTTATGGAAAACAAGAAATAAAATAATTAACTGGGCCTTCTTTTTATTTGGCTGTGGACTGTTGATGACACTTAACCATACTTTTTATACTAATGGTAGCACTGCACTAAATAATTTTTTATTTATTATTATTGTTTAAATAATGTGCCAAAGAACACAGAAAAATAACATGCAAAAAGCAGACAATGTCCAATAACTATCACAATTTTACTGGTTTTCTAACTATGCAACAAGAGCCATTACAAATTAATCTATGCTAGTCAATATGTTTCCCATGGGAATAAAGCTTCAACTGAAAGCAAAATTGACAATTCTCTTACAGAAAACAACACAATATAATATTTCACTTGATAGATAAAAACCTTGGCTTTCTATAAGTTACATAGTATTGAATGTCAGAGAACTATTGACATCTACTGAATCGGAGGAATGTGACAGGTGGGCATGGTAAGAGGGGTCTGATTTTCTATTTGATGGCTGGCTCTGTAACCAAATAAAATTGAAGGCTATAAAAATTATGCTTTGCCTGAGCAATGACTACACTATAATGGGCAATTTAAATCAAATTTTGTACTTCTTGGAGGGGTGGTAAATAAATTAGAGAAGAGTGAATGCCTAGAGAGAAAACGTCAGAATTCTCACAGAAGGGGAAATTCAAATTAAAAAAAAAAATATTGCCTTATTAGCTGCATTTTTATTCTATAGTTATTGGTATACCACGAACAAAAAGTAGTTTAATTAAATTTTCAATGTAACTCACTAAAATCCTTAGGATATGCACAGTAAATAATGCCTGCAGCAAGATAGTTAATCACTCTTTATGCCACTCATAAGAGTCATAAACTAAATAAAAGTCTTGAAGATCATTGTTTGCAAATGACAGATCTGTGCACATTTAGTTTATAGACTACTGCTATGATATATACTGCTAGATGTACTACAGGATAAATTAAAGTGTCTTTGGGCTTGTCTAGGCAAGACTAGACTATTCATAAAATTCTTACATTTATGTAGCAAAATATTAAGACAATGGATAGAGCCAACTACAATATAAGTATTTATCTGGAATTATCATATGATCTTTTATTAAAGTGTTGTTATTACATCCTATTTATTATGTAAACTTTTCATATTTTCTTATATATTCTGCAGTTTCCAATGTCCTGTGAAACTAATAAAACTGTTTCTTTAAATATGTATATTAACTGTTTGGTAGTTGAATATTTGGTTATTTGGCTAAAGGGCTGGCCAGATATTTGATATTCAGCTGAAATAGTGTCCGTTAATCTCTGGTATCTATTCTTTATGAAAGTGTGACAGCTAAATATATGTATTTTGCAAAAATATCTGGTTAAATGCTTGCAAGTCTGTCATGAATGAAATTATAACTGATTAAGGCATCATCTATCTTGTTTTCAAAATTTGGTAGTTTAATTTTTTGACATCTTTTAGGCCTTTTGCAAATAAATATTTAAGAACTGTTTTTTCCTAACTACATGTAGTATTTCTAGATAAAACTTATTCTAAAAGGTGTCCAAATTTACAGCTCTTTTGCTAAAATGATTTAATAACTATGCAATTGTAAATATTTAACATTATTAAGAAATAAGATAAAAACCAAAGTAGTTTGAAATGTAATTAACAGAGACTACTTACTGAGATACAACTATTTCAGGAAGGATTTCTTCAAAGTTTTTCTGTGATTCCTCATTTACAGGAAAGTCCCCTTCTATAGGAACAATTTTTATTGCAATTTCTTCCCCTTGAGGTGAGTTAGAATGAAATACTTCTCCATATACTCCTTCCCCAATTTTTTTGCATCTTGATAAGAATCTAAAATATAAAACATTTCTAACTGACAAAAAACTTCAAATATACTAACTAAAGTAGGGTAGAAATTGTTGTATAATTTTATTCTAAGGTATATTTTCCTACAGCAGAGTAGAGCTGAGTGATCAGTAGTATTTGCTAATTGATTAATCAATAGACTCAATTAGCACATACACCCGACATCTCCCATCACACAAACATATGAAAAAAAAAGGGTGTGCACTAGCTTCATAACTTTTCAAACATTATATTCTTCAAACATGGTATTAATCTTCCTATTTTCATTCACACAGTTTTGTTTTTTGAACATTTTGCAAATAACATGGTTTTTTGTCTAAAAAAATATTTCCCTACAGATTTTTCTTAAAGGTAGTCTAGACATTTCTTACTTGGCAAATGAATCACTAATGTCAACTAAATACCATCATGTGGTGATCATTATGTCTGTTTTTAAAATATGCAGTAATCCCACAGTGATCTTCTATAAATCAAATAAATTGATAATTAGATAAAGAAAAAATGTGTTACTATCAGCAATGAGGGTAATAATGATTTTATTTAAAACATATCATGATTATAATTAGAAATAATTAAGTAGCTAGTTAGCCAATTTATTTATGTACACTGTTTGAAAAGAAAAAACGAAAGTAATATTCAAAAAAGATTTCAGTCATCACTATATTTTGCAGTTATCCAACATACTCACTAAACTGACTTGATGATTTTATTCTATTCGGAGAACATTTTGGCAATACAGTTAGAAAAAACAACCTGTAATCTCCAAATAATAACAATAAAAAACTTTTTATTTCAGCCAACATTTCACCATTGCAACTTCATTAGGGCTAGTAGTACAAGAACACAAAACTGTGTTATAAACATTGAAACTCATTAAAACCACAGTATATCTGTTAAAAAGTAAAAACACAATAATTTTAAACAAAGAACCAAACATCAACAAAAAGCCTTTATTAAGCCTTAAGAAATATCCAGGTATGTGACTTTTGTTTCGTACTCTATATATATAAATATATATATATTTATTTATTCCCAGTGTTGGAAAAACACTTACACATGGTGATAAAACCTTCTCCAAGCATTGCACATTAGTTACTGTGTTAAATTTGTTGTCAAGTTTTTAATGGTCACCTATACTATTCAATCCATCTCTAATCTGTACTAACTTACCTTATCCCAAGTAATCTGATGTATTTTCATAAATAAAAAAAATGTCTGTAGCTTTCAAACAGATACAGTTTAATACATAAATATTTTCCCAAATCACATGTGAAAGAAACTATAAAAAAACACTTCAATCTATATATTTACTATATGATTAATCAATGGACTTATTAATCAATTAGTACACACACACCTTTCAACCCCATTCAATCCTATGAAAAAAGGGTGTGTACTAACTTCATAACTTTTAAAACACTGCATAAAAATAATACTCAATAAAACAAATTTAAACTTTCTTTATAACTGTGTTACATTAGTAAATGATTCTACTACTTGATATGGCACCATAACAAAGTTTCAACCAAGGGATTTTACAAATATTAAGAGAATCACTTGAAAATCATGAAATGGATACTATATTCTAAAGGGGTAATAAGTTCATAAAAAAAAAAAATATTCTTTAAGATGGGCAGAAAAATTCTAAAACAAATAGACAAGTGGTTTATTTTTGTTATATAGGCAAAACTCTTTCCAGCTATGCAGAAATTAAAATATGAGCTTTTTTCATGAATCACACTAAATCAATGTTAGAAAATGATAAAGTATTTATTCTAAAATATTTCTGAGTTATAATCACTGAAATATAATTATGACTAGCAGAGACCCGCAAAACATTTACAGTCAAATTAGTATCTTTATTGCAACAGTATTTCTTTAAATACAAGATATGTAGAATAATACAAATGAAATGTAATCATAGACACCAAAATGTGTAAATCCACTTGTTATTTAAGTCATACTTTATAAAACCTTGATTAATGTTAGGCCTAAGTTCATTAAAAGATAAATTAACACTTTACTGTGTACATTCTTTACATTAGCTTAGTTAAGACTATACTATATTGTACTTAATACTATCTATAAATAAATTTATAATATTATTGAAGGACCTAACATCACAACTTTTTCGAAAACTTTAAGCTTTTAATGTTATTGTACTAAATAGTTAATCAAGAATATTTACATACACTTTTTTGTTATTCGTTTATTCACAGAGCAGTTGTGGTGACTTGTTCATTGAGTTTATCAGCTTGCATTGTTTTTCTGGGTAAAATTCTTACTGTGCATGCTTATAAGGCATACTGACAGCAGAATTATAATATGACAAAATTTTGGTGTCTGTGATTAGAATTCTTTTGTATTATTCTGGAAATCCTGAAAATTGCATTACTTAACATTTAAAAACAATGAAAAACTTATTCACTTATCAGTCACCTTTTGCAACATTAATGTGTACACTTTTCCAGATTTGTTACTCCAGTATGTTGTTTTAAATGTTCATAAATGTGTTTACAACAACATTGGGGCCTCAAGTGTTGTATCTATAACTAGTTACTAAAATACTTTTTAACAGTGGTGGGA